TAGCTGCTGTGTGATTGCACACAGGATGATCTGCTCCATAACTCTGCCAGGCACCGAGGTCAGGCTGACAGGCCTGTAGTTACTAGGGTCAGCCTTGCATCCTTTTTTATGGATTGGAGTGATATTTGCCAACTTCCAATCATCTGGGACCTCCCCAGTGAGCCAGGACTGTTGGAAGATGATGGAGAGCGGCTTGGCAAGCTCTTCTGCCAGCTCCCACATTACCCCTAGGATGGATCCCGTCTGGTCCCATAGACTTGTGAGGATCCAGATGATTCAGTAAGTCAAAAAACGTGTATATTTTATCTATAGCTATTAACATTCGCCACGTGTATGTATGTACACCTGTATCACAGACACCGACAAACAGACAGACACACACACGTGCCTGGATAAGGCAGCGCTGTCTGCGATGAGACAGAGCTGTCTGTCTGTCTGTCCGTCCGTGCCGAATGACCCGCGGCTGAGGACGGACGCACTCAGCGCACATGGCCACGCCCCCGGAGGCCACGCCCTCCCGGTAACCACGCCCAAAGGAAGCCACGCCCCGTCCCGCCCCTCACGGCGCCCGTCCCGCCATGGCCTCCGCCGGCGGCCCCGACCCGGAGCGGCCGCACCCCAAGCCCTTCCTCATCGGCGTCAGCGGCGGCACCGCCAGCGGAAAGGTGAGACCCGCCGCGTTCGGGGTCTGTCGGGGCTGAGCTCCTCTCCTCGGGCATCCCGCGGGCCGCCAGGGCATCGCCGGTGCCGCTTCCCTTCCTCCCCGCGGCAGGGGCCGGGCCGGGCCCCGGCTGAGCCCCCGTCCCGCTCAGTCCACAGTGTGCGAGAAGATCATGGAGCTGCTGGGGCAGAACGAGGTGGAGCAGCGGCAGCGGAAGGTGCTGATCCTGAGCCAGGACAGCTTCTACAAGGTGCTGACGGCCGAGCAGCAGGCCAAGGCGCTCAAGGGGCAGTACAACTTCGACCACCCGGGTGAGCCCCGCGCCGTCCCCCTCGGAGCAGGGTGTGCTTGGAGCGTGGCGAGGGCCTGTCGGAAATGGGATGTGCTGGAGAGCAGAAATGCTCTCTTTCCCCCTCTCTCCCCCCCCAAAACATCCGTTCGTCCTTCCCTCGTGCCCGCTGTTACCGACGGCTGGCACTGCCCTCCTGCAGCCGGGAAGAGCTGCGGAGCATCCCGGCCTGCTCCCGGCTCCGGAGAGGCTCTGTAATGCACCACATCATTCCCCAAATCCTTTCCTGATACTTCTTGTCCGCACAAACAGCTGCTCCCCTGGCCCGGGGGAGGAGGATTGCAGGCGGGACAGGGATCTGCCCTTGGCTGCAGTCTGGTGCTGCTGTGGGCACACAGGGGCGGGTGCTGGAAACCATTAAGAATGCCTGAGGTTTTCCAATTGACTCTTGACTAACAGAGTTGCAAAAAAACTATACAGTTACCAAGTGGTTTGGTGCAACCGACTTCACCTTTGGGTTCTTAATTTTATTGTTTTGTAGTTGCTTATAAACAGCAAATTGCCTCTTCCCTATCTCTGTAACCAAGCACAGCAGTTGTCACTCAGGCAGCGAACGTTGGCTGCTGGTAGGAAAGAATAAGCCATAAGTTCTTTTTTTTCTGGTGAAACACTGGGCAGAGAGTTTTTCCTTTGGCTCTAGAAAAATCTGGGCAGAACATTTGATACAGCAGCACCTGACACTCCTCTTCTTTGAACCTTCCTCTCACAGATGCTTTTGATAACGATTTGATGCATTCAACCCTGAAAAGTATTGTTGAGGGCAAAACAGTTGAGGTACCAACGTATGACTTCGTGACACATTCTCGGTAGGTTCTGGTTTTGTGTCAAGCCTTGGGTGGTGTCCGTGGGATGTCCCAGCCTGGGGATGGGTCTCTTGGTGCTGATGTGAGACCCGTTTACCAGCGTGCTGTGGGTGTTTTCTCCTGCCAGGCTGGCAGAGACGACGGTGGTCTATCCTGCTGACGTCGTGCTCTTTGAGGGGATCCTGGTTTTCTACAACCAGGACATCCGGGACATGTTCCACCTCCGTCTCTTTGTGGACACGGACTCGGATGTGCGGCTGTCCCGCCGAGGTAACGGCTGCGCCGGCGCGGGCAGCGCCAGCTCCTGCTCCTTATCCATCCTCGGCCATGTGGCAACACTCAGGGGTTTTATCTCCCCATCCCAGTTCTGCGAGACATGAAACGCGGGAGGGACCTCGAGCAGATCCTCACCCAGTACACCACCTTTGTCAAGCCTGCCTTTGAGGAGTTCTGCTTGCCGGTAGGGAATGTTTCGCTAATTGGATTTATGGGGCTTTTTTTGGGGGGAGGGAGGAGAGGAGCAGGGTCATCTGGGGATTAACTGCACTGTAGGCACAGCAGTGGGGACTTTTGGTATTTTGGTATTTGTATTTCACGAATCCCACGCTCTCCCCTCTGCCTCATGTCTTCAACCATTCCCAGCTGGTTGTTAAGGAACTGAAATGGTCCCTTCTGCTGGCAAAGCACCGTGGAAATGCCTCCAGCACTTTTCCTCACTGGCTGCCGGGGCTATTTTAGCATGGGCCCCTCTGACTGAAGCACTCCCACTCTCCATTTATTCTTAAGGCTTGTAGGAATTAAAAAGAGCTTGGCTTCCAGCAGCCTCCCTCCAAGGGAACACTGGGGAAAACCTGGGGCAGACCATTCTAGCACCGTTTGCTCTACCGTGCAGTGCAGGGACAATTTAGGTGCTCACATAACCAAATTAATTTGTAAAAAAAACCCTTTGAGAACAAAATCCTGTATGTGGATTAAATAAGCTGGAAAAGGCTAACTCAGGCTCCTCCTGCTCTAGATCAAAGGAATTCTGGGGTTGTAAAAGTACTCATTAGAAATGCTGAATTTTGCCAGCTTTTTTCCAAGTAGTGGGGGAAGAAAAAGCAGGATTGCTGTGGTGGTAAAGATCAATAAAATGTTATCAGAGCCAGGCAGGAATTTCACATGCACATTGAGTTCCTTGGCTCTCAGCAGAGATTTAGCAATGGCATATGAAATGCTGATTAGAACCAGCTCTTGGCAAACAGACCTCTCCTGAAATGGTCAATATTTGAAGGCAGCTCAGAAGTGTAAAAACAAGGACTCTACACCTCACCTGCTGCTTTTACGTGGTGATTCTTTGCAAAGGGACAGTAAGACCAATCCATGGCCTTAAATCTAGTGCACATTAGCCACAGTGATGTCTTAATTAATTTAGGTGTAACCATGATTGAGAGCTTAAACTTACAACCCTGGAAGAAACAGAAACCCTCCCTCTTTGCCCCAGTTTTCTGGCCTTTGGTCACTCCTGCCTAGAATGAAGCTGACTTTTGCATTAACAGCCTCCACCACTGTTCCTGTTTTTCAGACAAAGAAGTATGCAGATGTGATCATCCCCCGAGGAGTTGACAACATGGGTAAAAGGGAGTTGGGTTCTCTGATTTCCCTGGGGAGACACCCTTGGGGTTGGGAAGAGAGCAGGTGGCACGTGCCTCCAAGGAAAGGCGTTTTGCTGGAGGGCTGGAGGGGAGGGAGCTGCTCAGCCTGTGGAGGGCTGGAAAAGTGACCCGCGGAGGTCTGACCTCACTGCAGACAGCAGGCAGAGTTTCATTTAAGGGCTTGTTAAAACTTGAGCAGAGCAGGGCTGGATGCTCCACATTTTCCAGATAACTCAGCCAGGAAAGCCTTCACACCCCACGTTTCCCATTCCTCTCTGCAGTTGCCATAAACCTCATAGTGCAGCACATTCAGGACATCCTGAACGGAGACATCTGCAAGTGGCAGCGAGGGGCGATGAACGGGCACAGCCGGACCTACAAGCGCCCGTTCCCGGAGCCCACGGAGAGCAGCAGTGTCCTGGCGGCGGGAAAACGCTCCCACCTGGAGTCCAGCAGCCGTCCACACTAACCTGGGTTTGCCTCTGGTCCAGACCAACAGTGAAGACAACTTTGGGGAAGGACTTCGACAGAGTGGTTGGTGAAGTGCCCTTTAAATCGTCCTGGCAGTGGAGGGGATCCTGGTGTGAACCTTCTCACGGGGGGAGAGGAAGGAGTTGGCCATCGGCTCCTCTCCCCTTCAGACCCCTCCCTTTTCTCCCTAAGATGTCTGGAGTCACGTTACTTGATGAACTGGTTAAAGGCAGTGCTACTTGCCTTCTTTTAATTTTGAAAATGAGATCTACTGCTGAAGACTTCCCTGAAAATTAAGCACTACCAGGTGATGAGCAAGATACCCCATTTCCCTGATGATGGGCTTCCTTAGCAGGAAAATTATCTGCCTCTTGGTTGTTTTTTTTTTCTCTCTGTCCCTGTTAATTTTCACAGGCAGGTGCAGCCCTTACTCTTCTCCACCTCGCTGGCACCTTGAGTTCTGGCCTTGTTGTGCTGCTGGCCAGCCTGTGGGGGCAGGGGGTTTGACTTGTAGGGGCATCTCTGCCCTGAGATAGGGGTGAGACAGAGACTGTCTGGGACAAATGGGAACTTGCAGTTCACCAGGGACAGGCCCAAGAAGTTTATTGTCTCTTGATTCCTAATTTATTCCTTTCTAAGCTCCCAAATCTTACTATACTGTATGATCATTTTTTTGTACCCAAAATAGTTGCCTTTCCCACAGTTACTGAATGTGTGAGCTCCAGCTGGATTGAGTTGCTCATGGAAACAGAAACCTGACCTTGTCAGTATTAGTGTCTTTAGTGCATTTCTGTACTGCTGGTTGCACATTCTGCTGGGCAGAATCCGTCCACTTCCAGAGAGGGCTGGTGAGACCAGCAAGGGGGAAGCTGGGAATGGCAGGACCCTCCTGCTGGCACAGGCAGCTGCCTGGACGTGTTGTACCCTTAGACAGCGCTCCAGCAGCTTAAACTCAATAATGTCTGGCTTTCTAAAACAAGCAGACAAGAAGTATAAACAGTGACATCCCAGTTCCTGTAGTTTACCCCGGATAAGTGATAGTGAAGTATCTGGAAAAAAAAAATCTGAAATGAAGTGCTGGTTAGGCCTTTGAAAGTGTCCTTGTGATGCCATTCTTGAGTCTGGACTTACGGTGTAATTTTAAGAATGAGGGTGGGAGGGAGATGTTATTGAGGAACTTTTTCATACTTGCTAGTTTTCTAAAAGCAGCATCTGGCTGTGTTGGTTGTGGGTGTGTTACTTTGGCTAATAAACAAATGAACAAACAGTGATCAGAAATGACCATTTTATATAAAAGGCAATTGTGCTGCTTCCACTACATCAGCAAAAAGGTACAGAAAAGCCACTGCTGGAGGAGCTCCTGCACTCAACAGAATTGTTACCTTTAGTTCTGTCATGGCTGAAGATTTAGGAAAAAAAAACAACCCAGACTTAAGAAACGCAGTCTGCACTTTCATCCCTGTAGCTTTTTCAACTCTGGAAATGGGTGAAGGTTTGGTATCTCAGCGATCTCCTCAGCTGAATGGTACTTCTGCAGTGCCCAGGAGGAGGCAGGTCATTTCCTGACTGCTGCTGGGTGCTGTTTAGCTCAGGGTGACAGACTTAGACTATGAGCTACTGCACTCAAGCATTAGCTCTCAGGGCTGATTACAGTAGGAGCAAAACAGTCACTAAAACCTCCTTTGAATGACTGTGGTGTTGGATCATACCTTCCTCTGGAGGCCAGGGGGGAGCTCAAAGCATTTGTTAGAGCCTTGAATAGCATTTGCTAGAGCTGTGAGGAACTCCACAAAGAGCCCCTGGTCTGTGGGGCTGCTGCTGTGAGCAGCTTTGTGCTGTGCTAGAGGACCTGCTGCTGCAGCCACATGGAGATAAGAAATGGGACATGGCCCAGGAACTGTGACCCTGGTTAAATAACTACAGAGCCCTTACAAATTCCCCCACTGGGCAATCCCAGTGCTTCACCTCTGCCTTCTCCCTTCTCTGTGAATTCCTCTGCTAGAACAGGCCGGGCCATGGTTTGGGCTGCAGTATTTTTACCCTGAACCCATGTGTGCACAAGTTAGGGCAGGTTTCCTTCTCAGCAGGATCAGTCCTGCCTTGCCCAGAGTTCCTCTTCCCGTGGGGTTTGAGGTGTAACCCTGCAGCCCAGTAAATACAGTACAGCCATGGCTGGTAACAGGCCTCAGGCTTCACATCAATGCCACAAGGCCAGGGGATTCTTCTGGCTCTGGCTGGCTTCCTGGCTTGCCTGAAACCTTGTTTTAGCTTGTTTAGCTGTAACAGCAATTTTCTGATGTCTTTTTATTTTTGCTTATCTTCTTAAAAATGATGGTTATGCCAAATGATTACACATAGATAGTAGTAGCAAGTCATTATTTTATGCAGAATGAACTATTTATAAATGTGGCTTAGTGCTGTATTTACATAAATAGGGATGATAGCGCAGCAGTGAAAGTGGGGGCAAATAATGCATTGTTGAGGAATAGAGTCATGGGATGGTGCTAAGGCTGCAGGGCCAGTTACTGATTGTTGGAGGATGAATAAGCTTCAGAGCAGGGAAAACCTTTTTTTTTTAGAAGTAACAAGAGAAAAATATCTGATGTGTTGGAGAGTGTCCATTTTTTGTAACTGTTATCATGGAATTGTAGACCAAGGTGCTGGGAAACACATGAAAATAACCCTCAGTGCAATGTAGTGCAAGAAGGAAGAAACCACCACTGTCAGGAAAGAGGAAGAAGAAATTGTTGCAGCATGTTCTTCCCAGCAAAGTAGCTGGGATGCTGTTGCCTGAAGTCAGCAACCTTCAGGCCCCGAGGGGCAGTGGAAGGGTGAATGTAACAGGGGCAGAAACTGGGAATTGTGCTCATAACTGTATTCCAGTCGAGAGCTTCTCTGTAACAGTGCTCTTTTCCTGTAATCGTTAGATCTGGACTACTATCAATTACTTGATCCAACTGTTAAGATTTCAGTTATACTAACAATAAATCCTTGGCTTTGCACAAAAGGTGTTTCCTTTTGGCTGTAACACGATTGCAGTGGTCACTGTTTTCGGATGAGGATGTTCCAGCTGTCCTTCCAACGCAAGTCCTTGAGTTCCGTCGCGGACAGCGCGGGCTGCCCGTAGGTCACGGGGCTGAAGGTGCAGTAGACAAAGTACACCGAGGAGAACCAGGCTACAATCAGTGCACTGAACATGCTCTTGAGCAGCACAGACCTGGGATGAGAGCGGGAAAGAGCAGTCAGGTTACATCAAGGCTGGACAAACACTTCATCCAAAAGGAAGACTTACACCTGGGCTGTTTCTCTAAAGACAAATGACAGAGTGTGGCCACTGCTGGAAAAATCACTGCTCTCCCTGCAGCAGCTTGTCTGGGTGACAGCCCTGGAGAAAAGAACTGTGTCACTTCCCTTGTTAAAGACAACTGTCTCTGTTAAAGCCAAATACCTGCAGAGATGATCGCCCAGGTGCTGCAACACGACGGGAATCAGGAGAATCTGGAATGTGAGGGCAGGCAGGTAGTGGTACAGGAAAAGTGTCTTCTCCATCAGGAAGAAGGGCAGGTAGTTCACAGCCCAGCCTCCACCACAGACACCCCCAGCTGACACCCAGAGCTGCCAGGAATCTGCAGGAGATGGGAGATGGCATCTCAGAGCAGAGCAAGCCACAACCCTCCCCCTGGACACACCCCCACAGTGGAATCAGACCTTCAGGGATGTCATAAATCCTCCTCCTCCGTCGTATCAAGTACCACAGGGACAGACACACGTAGACCAGAGCAGCAGCATTAGCTGAAGCCCAAGTGACAACATTCCCAAGGAGGTGGATCTGGGCCTGCAGGATAGATGATGGTCTAAGCCGGAAGCAGGGACATGCAGTGGTTCTTTTAGGTAAATTTAAATATTATATACACACACTTGCTAAATTAAACCTCAGAACGTGCCTGGCTAGTAACCTGGAACAAAGCTGGTGATAAACTTTGCTGCTTTAAGACTCTTCTGTAATGGAAGGCATTTGAAAAATGCTACTGGAGATGAACTCATCTTCTAAATGGAATCAATAATGGAAACTAATAAACTGCAGTTTGCCTTTAAAAAAAACGTGCAAGAAGACATGATTTAATTAAATGCAACTACTGTCAAAGCTGTATCTCATGCTAAAATAAAAACCTCAACCCTCAGGGAAAACACATGAACACAGGAAGAACTCTTGGTTGGAACTGCAGCCCTGCTCTGACTCCTGGGAGCTGAAGTCTCCTTTCTCACCCAGGTCACAGTTACTTCTGCCTCTTGCACTTACCCCAGAGGTGGGGTGGAGCCAGTAGGCAATGTTTGTGTCCATCGTGATCCAGTCCAGAGCAGAGGAGCTGTACTTATGTTCTGTGTCTTCATTTTTTAATGTGAGTATTTTCCACTAGGAAAAAAAAAGGAAACAAACAGAAAGCCTTCAGAATGGGAACAACAGGTGGTTGAACTGTTCCCGATATAAGATGCTAAGTTCCTAACCTGGGAGTGGAGAAAGATTTTGCCTATCTCACGTGGATACTGATCAATACAAAGGTTTTATTTTGTTCTTATGTAATGCACTTCCCATGTACCACACATTACAGTTCAGTTTCATGCAGCTTCTGGGTGCCCAACAGATCTTCCTCCCCCTTTTTTGTTACACAATCCCTGGGGTATTCATTGCTGAACAGCACAGGTCTCTAATGCCCTTATAAGTGCATTCTGAAATACTTTTTTCAGTGAGGAAGCCAGGCTATCAGCAAGGAATAAACAAGGAATCCTTAGAGCCTGCAGATATGCTCAGGTTTCTGCTCTGCAGCAGGAAGAAAGATGGGAATAACAAGACACTGACCTGCAATTCTGTGAACTTTGCCATGAAGCTGAGGTTTTTACTGATGTCCATCTGTGTGGGAGAGTGGAGTTCCACTTCCCTCTCTTTTTGCTCTTGGCCTGGAAGAAAACAGCATAGCTCAGAAATAACCACAAAACAGGCACAAAGCTAGAAAGGGAAGCACATAGGATATAGCCCTGGCTCCTCACTCTCCCAGGAGCCCTTCTCCAATACACCATCCACCTTCAACAGCGCTCTAAGGGAATTTGTAAGGATTCTGACATCGTGACGGAGCCAACTGAACACACACACACACGCACAGTACCACCTTCCCATCAACACTGTGTCCCCCAGTCACAGAAACCTGCTGAGACGTACTTTTCCCGTATCTGTGCTCTTCCACATTCCACAGCATGCTCTGGTGGTAGCCTTTGGACAGCTTCTCTCCAACCACCTCCAGCTGCCGGTATCCCCACTCGGGCAGAGACGCCCCACTGAGCTGCAGGTGAAAGATGGCTGTGAACTTACAGTGCTGCCAAGCTGAACTTCAGCATGGAAGTTCCCAGCCGTGCCTGAGCGCTGGAGAGCAACGAGGGACTGCCTGAAAGCGTGTGTGAAGAGTCACCATGCAGTGCTGTCTCGACAAATGCTGAAGCCATAAAGTCACTGGCAAGCTCTGAAGGAAAAGATCCTTAACTATTCCAGCTGCTGTCACAGACAGCTGATGCACAGACTCAGCATCAAATTCTAAGCCCCAGCAGTGCACAGTGGTCACAACCTCCTGAGAAGCAGGACAGCTCTGATGCTGAGAAGGGATGAAGTATGACTGCCTAAAACACATGCTGCTCTTTTGTCACACTGAGCAAGTTTATTATTTCCTTTTATTTGCTTATTTTGGTTATTTTTGTAGTCGTTTAGTTATTTGGGAGCAGAGAGATGAATAGTCTGAGAGGATTCAAGAACTGCATGAAACAAAAGCTGTAGCACATAAACATAAGCCCACTTGCCTTTAGCACTGCAGAGGTGTTGACATGAACAAATCTCACTTCTGACAGAATTGTCTTCCACACATCTGTGTCAGACTCCCGATTTACAATCTCCTGCAACAGAAAGATGGTTTTGGATTGTCATGTTGTCCCAGCTGTTTCTGCTGGAACATGATCAGCTGCTCCCTTCCCTTTGACCACTCACCACTCTCCAGAGGTTCTGTGCTGGCATGGAGATGTTATAATCAATATAGCAGGAAACCTCCTGGGAGTGGGGGCTCAGAGGGGCAGCCACATCATGCCTAGAAGACAAGTAAAGTAAGATCCTCCACTGCCATTCCCCAAATTCATATAAAAAGCAAAACCATATGGGATTGGTTTAGACTGGATTCAATAATAAAGTGAAAAGTAACTCTCTTATACAGATTGCACTTTTTACTCTGAGAGAGAGAGCACTCCCCAAAACCCTGAGCTGCCAGGAACAGGCTCAGGGGAAGCCAATGCAGATGCCTGTGATGCCAGGCTGAAGAACAAGCACTGATTGTGACAAACAGAGACACTGTTCACTGGGCTTTCCAATAATGAACAAATTAGGTTTGGAAGGGACACAGCAAAACCCAACATCAGAGCAGCCCTCTTCCTAATCTGAGTGATGATAGTCAAGCACATGCCCTTTGGGAAGCAGTCAGGAGGCAATTTCATACTGCAGGCTTTCACCGCAGGCAAGAATCTGTGGCAATGAGCCACAGCACACTGGATTCTCCAACACATCTTCCTGGCTTCCAGAGCACATCCTTCATGCAGGAGTATGCCAATAAAATCAGTGGAGTTGCCTCTGGGTTGTTACACAAAATCCTAAGTACCTGCAGCTGCCTGGAGGGGGGGCAGTGAAGGATGAAGGTTCACAGAGGGGACTCTATTTAGGAATCTGCAGAACTACCATGAAATGTGAACACGGGAAAAACCATCACTGGTCCCTTGTAGAGAGGACCAGAAAGAGTGAGCAGCCACTGAGCAATCTGTAATTAAGATCAAATCCCACTGCCAAGTCAGCTGCAAAAAATAAATAAGCACACAGCATCCTCCCTCTGGGCCACAGGGAGGGCTTAAGGAACTAACCACACGAGGTCCCTCTCCTTGCCCCACTGTCGATCTGTGAGTAACGGGCAGTTTATGGCACATCTGAGTGCAAGGTCACTGTGCTTCAACCCCTGAGGGTTATTCTGAGAGCCAGCTCAGCAGAGTGAGGCAGGGCTGGCAGAGCAGAGGATGAGGAAGGGACTTACGTGTTGAGGTAGCGGGTTGTGATGCCGTGGACCAGCTGCACGATGTGTCCGTGCCTGACGGGCCGGGGGGGGTTACTCACCACCAGCTGCTGCCTGGGGAAGTGATACCCAAGAGGAAATGGTTAAATTTGAGGTGATCTTTACATATATATAACACAACCTTGCCGTGACCAAACTGTCAGGTCAAGAAGCTGCAGGCAGGGACAGATATTGAAGCAGGAAGATGAGAAATTAAAGCAATGTATAGATTGTACCAGAATGGTAACAAAGCTCATGGAGGGAAAGGTGAGTTAAGGGCACAGTGAGTCAGAGGATCAGTAATGGGATACTGACACCACAGGCATTAGGTCAGTGGTCTGAATCCAGGTCAGTCAGGAGCGAATTAAGGTTATTCCCATCCCACAGCTGTTTGGTGGCTTCTGTGGAACACGTTGAGTGCTTCAGTGAGTCTGACAAGTGCTGTACTACAGCTGCTGTCACTTTGGCAGAATTATAAGAGAGATCAGTGGCTTGTTCCACCATGCAGACCAAACTCTCATCTTCCTTCTGGACAGGGCCATGGCAAGGGGCAACACTGCAGTTCACTGAACTGCTGCCTGTATTTTGCTGCTCTATAGAAGGACTTTGCACCTCCCAGTGTTTGTAAAAGTCCTGAGTCTGAAGAATTTTAAGAATATATTAGGTTTCTTTACTTCTGGTAGAGTCCCTACTTGAAAGGTTTGCACCATGGACAAACTTTCCTAACATAGATATGATTTATAATGACACACAGCCCCTCTAGAAGGACTCTTTACACAGTTCCCAGAGCAACATAAGAAACCTACAAAAGCAACTTTGATCAATATGAAATTACATCACTCAAGGGCTTTTACTGGCGAAACAAGAACAAAGAGTCCTGCTCTGCACTGACAGTGACAGTGGCAAAACACTTCAGCACAAACCAGGCCTCTCAGGTACAGGCAACACTTGGAATCCCTCCCCATGCAGCAGATTCTAAGTTCATCCCACACTTTATTACAAAGAACTACTCATTTTGCAAAAGTGATTTCTACTCTCTTCTGAGACTCCTTCAAGTTTGATAAAACTCACCAAGACACTGTAGTGCCATGGCTCACACACTTCAAAAAGCAGAACTCCCCTTTCATGCAAAGCACCTGAAGAATTTACACTGGTCCTGTGAGTCTTTCAAGTTTCCCTTGTGCACAGCCAGCCCACATCCTGGCAGGAGCAGTTCTGACAGGATTTCAGAGTCCTCAGTGCTTTTACCACATTGAGGAGGATCCTGCAAGGAGTTGCCTTTACCACCTCTGCAGCTGCAATCACTTGCTCAGATCACACATGGCGTCTGCACCCATAAGCAGAGTTCTGTCCAAGCCAAGCTATGCCCTGGTTAGGTTTTGGAAGCATGCAGCTTGCACTGAAATCTCTTACATACTCACATTCCAGGATCTTTGACAATCCACCAGTTGTTCACATCCTTGAAGGGATAGCAGGTCACCTGCTGTTGATGGGAACTCCCTCGGCCATTCTCATACCTGCACAGAGAGTTAGAAACCCCACAGAAGTGTAAGAGTAAACTCCTGTGCTCCCCAGCAGTACAAACCAGCAGCAGGTCACTGGCTCATTCCTGCAGAGCACAGGGAATCCGAAAGATTCATGAAGACATCGCCAGGACACAAAACACGATACTTGGACTGGCAGGTGAAGCACCAGAGCATCCTCTCCCCCAGACTCCTCACCTGATGGGGTAGGTGTTGGTGTGGGAGTGGAGCCAACACTGCATGGGCTTGCCCAGGACGTTCCGCAGGGTGATCTGAGAGCCGTAGGACACCTCTAAGGGCTGGCCCTGAGTGATCCGAGCCAGCCCACCCTGAGGAGGGTAAGGACAGGATGAGTAGAAAGAAGAAGAAACAACCCAGAGGCTGTTGAAATTCTATTATGAGTCACCTGTCACTTTAACATAGCAGATCTTAGCACCAGTGCCTTCTCATTTGGGTTTTATCTACAAAAATCAAGTCTTGCAACTCCATACTCAGCAGACAGTAAATACACCAATGCCTAAAAGACTACAGGGTCTCAGGGAATATCCCTAAAGCCATGCTGTTCTGAAGGACAGACTAAGCACTCTTCTGCAGAAAATCATCCTGTTATCCTGTCACCACTCAAGAGTTCAGTACTGCATCTACTTCTGTGGAGTTTCCTGTAGGAAGGGACAAACCTGCTGCAGAAGAGTGAAAATATGGGTTCACTGGGGAAAGCTTTTCATCTGTTATTAGGATTTCAGTCATTATTGCTTCATCTTAAAGCAGTACTACAGCAGCAAAGTCGTTAAATGACATAAAAAGAACAAATATGCAGGATCAAGGGAACAGGATTGCACACCTTTCTTCTAATAGTGAACATAAGACATAAGCTTTCCCCTTTTTTCTCCCTGATAAATCAGTTCAGTGGCCACATTACCTCTAAGCTGGCTTGGAAAGCACTTGTCATGATCTGGTCGTGAGGCCCAGAGCGGTACAGCAGAGCCAAGTGGACATAGAAGAAGGACAGGTACAGCACCACGGGGATGAGGATGAGGGCCAGTGCCCGGGCTACAAAATGGCACAGCAAGGAAACCTGGGGGAACAGGGAAAACTCACTGGTTTCACCCTCCAGATATGAAAAATATTAACAATACCAGCGCACTTGGCTTATTTTGTTTGTCTTTTCGAGGTTTCCCCCACCCCCCTCATTCAGCTGTAACTTTGTGGACAACTGGGTAACTTCCACTGAGGATCAGAACCGCAGCTTGCAAAAGGTACGTGAGGCAGTGTAGGTTCTGAGTCACAAATCACCAAGATGTGGGAAAGAGCAGAAAAGCCAGTCACAAACACGTGTTCTTCTTAAACTCAACTCCATCTTCCCCAGCAAATGAGCTGGGAACTGTTCTGTGAGGGGAGGGTTTCCACACAAGGAATTTTAGCAGAAACCCCAGCTACAGACAGCATTGTCATGTGTGGGCTCCTGGCTGGTTCCTGCACTGAAAAGTTACACATAATATATTCTGCATGTTGCAGTACCTACATTTGACAAGGTCTGGTCTCCTATCAGGTGCCAGAAGTGCAGCCCTGCCATGGCCAGGAGCAGCATATAGGTAAACAGGCCCATGTATTTCACTCTGAGAAGAAAGTGCATAAAAGATGAACAAGGTTAAAAACTACACAACTACCTAATATAAGATATAAACATTTAAACTTTCCCTTGAACAGGGGGCATTAAAGTCCAAGTAAGACATCATCACTTACCCAACTGCACACGAACAGGCTACTCCAGTCAGCAGAAGCCAAAACCACCAGCTTCCAGAGAAGGGTCTTAAAGATAAATGTATTAAATCACTTGCTGAGCATGGTTTAAAGATAATTTTACTACACTAAATGTTACTTTATCCTCTGCAAGGATCAGAGAACAAAAAAGACAAGTATCTCTAAATTCAACGCGTGCAAACAGTAACAAGGAGCATTAAGTGACCTGTTATCATTATTGTTTATGTGCACAGAAGGAAACCTTCCAATAAAAAATGTGGGTGGGCAAAGAAGTGCTCCCAAGGGATTTTATTTCTATTGTAAAATAAAATTACAAAAAGAAAAGACAACCTTGCTATCAGTTAAAAGTCTTTAATGCCGCTGAGAAAATTTCTGGAGCAGCAAAGCACTGGATTTTACAGACAGATAAAGTCGACTCCACAATGCTGAAATTACTTATAGAAAAAAAAAAACACAGTCTGTGACCAAAAAAGAGAGTGACCACAAGAATGTCCAAAAGGATGGGAGACAATCCAGCTTTACCTGTGCCTCTGCAAATTGTAGAACTTCAGGTAGGACAAAACTGCAAGTAGGATAAAAAAAATCAATATTGATTCCAGGAGCATGAACCTTGACTGAGTGATCAGAGAGTTCTCTGTTGGAAAAGAGAGACAGACACAAAATTAGAGAAATTTATCTACAGGCAAGTGCCACTTCAGACAACTGCACTGTTATCCAACAGAAGGACCTGCCCTTTAGGGACAGCCAATTCCTACTGGCTGTAGTGGGGAGGTGCTGGGTTTACAAGGGACTAAAACCTTCCAGCAGGAGCAAAGTGCATGGCCATAACTGTCTCCAAGACAAAGAGGTAAGCAAGCAGTATAAAGTCTGGAAGGAGGCAGATAAAGCTGCTGTGCTTCCTACAAAGGCAAAGAAAATCAATGCTGGTAAATCCAGAGAGGAGCTCCTCAAGGCAGAGTCAGGGCAGTGAGCCCAGCAGGCAACGAACACAACAACAGATCTGCAAGGCAGGGAGCTGCAAGGAGCCGGAATCAGAACAGTCAGTAGCTAGGAAAGGTTTCTCTTATCAGGCTGCTGAAGGGCTGCTGAGAGACTGTGGCCCTTTCAGGCAGCTGCCAGCAGCCCCTCAGAGAAGAAAAATGAACTGAGCTGAACACACCAGAACAGTCAAAGCACAGTGCTAAGGACACAGGCTGGTTTGCTGCAGTTTGGAGATGAAGAAATTAGATGAGCTCTGAGAGCAGGGTTGTCCAGCTGTTAGAAACCAGTATGTTGTAACTCATCCTGTAAACCACCCCTAAGGGAGGGAGGACAGGCCTCCTTGGATACAAGAAACGTGCTTTTCTGTGAGGCTGTTAAGGCTGCCCACTTTGGCTCAGTATCGAAATGAAGTTGTATGAAGGCCAGAAGGAAAAACTTCCTGAGGGGAAAAGGGATTCATCCCCAGGTAGGAAGAAAGGGTCTCAGTGGAATAATCTTGCCTAAGAGGACCAGAAGAGCAGCTCCAAGTGCAGCACAGTGGGAGAAGTGCAGTTCCACCAGGATCTGGTAGGCTAAAGGCACACAGAGAGCACCAGCCAGGGCTGGCAGGAGCCGCAGGGACCACACAGGAACGTTCATGGTGTATTCTGGAACGGGAGACAACAGAAATTTAATTGCAGAGAGCACAGACCACTCCAGAACTCCTTAGCTGTTGAATCTAACTCTGACTTGTGCTAATTTATTATCCAGTTTGTACTGCTTAAGCTCTTTTAGCTGAATTTAAAAAAATCTGGGACCACAGTGCCTTGTATTTCTGTTTGAGACCTGCAGAAGACTCACTGAAAAGGAGAAGGGAAGGTGTCAGGCAAAGTGTTGTTTCCACTAATGCAAAAGGAATCTGTCAGCCCCTGAAATTCTGCTTATTCTCTCAAAAGAGTGAGTCAGTTAAAATCAGCTCTTACCGGCTCCAATCCTGTTCCATAAGAAGTTTCCATCAAATCCTCCTAAGTAACCTACAACACAAGCAACAATTCAGAACTTCCAGTCTCAAAACAAGTACAAAAACTGCTGCTAAACTGGGAACCATTTCCCAAACACACAGCTTTTCCAGGCACGAGGGCTCCCTTTCCCAAAAGGGTCCTCTTTGATAGTGGTCTGCCTGCAGCAGCGCTTGAGAATCTGCAGAGGCACAAAGAATATAAACTGGGAACGACAGATTCTCAGTGACAAAGTCAGATGTATATTTAATTTCTCCATCCCATACAGACACTTTCGTGCAGTGCAGATCTCAGCTACAGAAAGGAGCTCAGGCCTGAGAGTCTGTTTGTTGTCTGTGTCTTGTCACCAGCAGTTCTCATCTCACCCTTCTCTTTATCCAGAGGACTGGATAACAGTGAGGTAGTGGATACATGGCTCCATCACCTCCACTCTACTCATACAATACAAAATAAAGGAAAATCCACTTCTCTCTACATCAAAATCTCTCACCTGCCTTGTGCTTTTCCCCAGTAACTGGATCTGACAACTCATTTTTAACCAGCACTTCTGCCTCCCACAGCAACGGGCAGTTCCCAGTTCCAGGAGCCCCTACCTCCCAAGGCCAGCAGCATGTGGCCAAAAGGTGGGCCACTGTCATCCACAAAGAAGATCCTCTTCATGTAGAGCGACACGAACTGGCCGTAATAAACTTCATCAAAACTGAAACACAGGGGGCAGAAATACGTCAAACCTAACCGGAATTATCCTCCAGGGATACTACGAAAGCAAACACTGATTTGTTGGCTAAAAGCTAAGAATGCACCGTGCGTCTTTACCTTCCCCTTGGGAAGTTTTATTAGGGAAGCACTATCACTGTATTGGGATTGTTCAGCCTGGAAAAGAGAAGGGCCAGGACCTAATTGTGGGCTCCCAGTACCTGAAGAGAGCCTACAGGAAAGATGGAGAGAGCCTGCAAGGGCCTGGAGTGACAGGACAAGGGGGAAGGACTTCACACTGATAGGGAGCGGGTTTAGATTAGATATCAGGAAGAAACTGTTCCCTGCGAGGGTGGTGAGGCCCTGGCACAGGTTGCCCAGAGAAGCTGTGGCTGCCCCATCCCTGGAAGTGTCCAAGGCCGGGTTGGACAGGGCTTGGAGTAACCTGGGATAGTAGAAGGTGTCCCTGCCCATGGCAGGGGGGTTGAAACGAAACGAGCTTTAAGGTCCCTTCCAACCCAAACCGTCCTGTGATTCTGTGATTTACAGGGGCTGACATCAGACAAGCTCTGTTCTTCCGCTCCTGCACTCATACTCATAAAGGTAAATAAAAAACAAGCCTCTGTCACTCAGGCAGAAAATAAACTCTTCTACTCACACCACAGCCCGTGGATAGCAGAGCCCCCAAAGGCGAGTTATTAATCCCATCACAGTCAGGGCCACGAGGTTCACATTGATCTCTGCAGTGACCACAACAGGCTCCTTCAGAAACCCCAACATCCTGTCAAAGGTGTTTCCAAACCTCGGGAGCAGAAGAGAAGAGCAGCGTCACCCTTTGGCTCACAGTGAGCTGAACACCACCTAAAAGCAAGCATCACTCCAATTTCTGCTAAACTGACACATTTTTCATCTGCCCTGCTTCTGCCTGCAGTCCTAAGCTGGAAACCTTGCTTGTTCTTCCACTGGTTCTGCAGAAACACAACAGCTTAATTCCAGCCTCTATTCTGCTCTGCGCAATGCAAACCTTGCAGCCCAAATTCTGATGTTAGTGATGGACAAACCGCGTGCTCAGGCACCAGGTGAGCGCAATACCTGAGCTTTTTAGAGCTCACGTAGCTTTAAAAAAAACCCTGTTATTTCCTTGCAAACAGAGGTATTTCTTTGCAGGTGGGGAAAGGGACAGGCAGAACCCACTGCTTTAAAAAGCTGCTTACTGGGGCACAGATGTAGGTGCTGTAGGAAGCAGAACTGCTGAAAGCTGGGTCAGAAAATAGCAGGGAATCAGTGCTGCGACTCCTCGCTCACCTCAACACAACGGAAAGTTACCAGAACAAATCCATCTGCGCAGCTTTGATCAGGGCAGAACAAAGCGAGGTGTGAGCACATCACCACCCTCCAGAGCCGTGCCTCTGGCCTGGTTTCTCTCTGCCTATAAAACACAGGGAACAGACTTTTTCAGGGGCCCCTGGCAGAGCTGTGCTCCCGCCTGTCCTCTGTCACCGCCTCGCAGGATCCCTGAGAGCACCCGATGGCCAGGACTGTGCTGATCCCTGAGGTTCAGGCTGGCCCTGGCCCCGGGCAGGTGTGCAGCACCACCGCCTGCTCTTCCTCAGGGCACCACTAGCCCCTCCACCAGGCTCTGCACCCCCTTTTGAGGGGGGAGCAGCACCACTGACCCCCCAGCCCTGCCTTGTCCCCCCTCTGGAACTCCCTGGGGGGAACCAGGACTGACCCTCACCCTCAAAGGGTCACCAGGACCCACCACCCACACTGTGCCCAGCCCTGGACATCCTCGTGGGCGTTTTTTTGAGGAAAAGGACCGGCCATCAGGCTTCCCACCCTGCGAGGGCATCACCCATCCCCCGTCCCGAGCCGGGGGGGAAGCAGAGGCGGCACGAACCCCCCCAGGCCCTGAGGTGAGGGGGGCGCGGGACCAGCGGCACCGCCGTGCTGGGACGGGGACCGGGATCGGCATCACCATCAGGGTCGGGAGCAGGACCGGGAGCAGGACAGGGACCGGGACTGGGGACCGGGACCAGCATGAGGACCAGGAGCGAGACGAGAACGTGCAGGTGGACCAGGACCAGGATCAGGACGGGGAAGACGAAAGGACCGGGACTACGAGTGGGATCAGGATCGGGATCAGGACGATCACCCCCACCACCCCTCAGGGTCCCCCTCACGCCGGGGGGCGTGGCCACCCCGCGCGCCGCGCTCCTCCCGCCCCCTACCTGCCGGCGCCGGATGTGACGTCAAATTCACATGACACATACGGGGAGGGGCAACACGAGACCCGGATGTGTTCCCATGGCAACCCCCAACGTGTTTAGGCCTGGGCCTGCACGGGGACACCGGTGCTGTGGCCACCTCCAGTCATTCAAGCTAAAAAGCCCCGAGTATCTCACAGAATCAATTAGGTTGGAAAAGACCTCAGAAATCGAGCCCAACACCACCTTGTCAACTAGACCAGAGCACTCAGTGCCATGTCCAGCAGTTCCTTGAACACCCTCAGTGATAGCGGTTCCCCAAGCAGCCCATCCCACTGTCCAATCACCCTTCCCGTGAAGAAATTCTATCGAAAAGAATGAGACAAGGGACTGGGGATTTTTTTTTTTTTTTTTTTTTGAGAAAAGCATAACCTGCTTTATTTTTTTTTATTTTTTTTTTTATTTAAATAAGGAGAATTCTTTCATATGGAAAGAGCTAATACAATCACATATTTGAAAGGAGAAACAATAGGTACTGAAACGAGGAGAAGGGCAATAAAGAGTGTGCCGCAACTGGCCTGGTGATTCCGTGATTCGAATTCCGGTCCGAGTAAAAGTTTCCAAAAAATATAAACAGGTTGCACGTTACACAATTATCCATCGTCTGCCCTTTCAAATATCTGGTCTACATGAAAAGACAAAGAGAGGAAAGGCCAAAAAAAATTTACTATACAGGTCATGAGGTTAAAAGCTTTCAGGAGGACAATATCCCCTTGAGAAACAACAAATGCAATTTATACAGAACCAGAGGGAGGATTCCAGCTAAGGACAACGCCTCGAGACATGCTAAAGGGTGAGCGCCTCACTGCTGCAGCTGTGATTCCTGGGGGGACAGTCAAGGACATCTGGAGTAGCCAGGACAAGCCATTACACCCAAGGGAGTATCTGGGGCCACTGGGAAAAAACTGGTGGTCTTTGGATTAAAATAAACAACAAAAAACAGGCGGACTCTGCTGCCTCACCAGTTCCACTGCTTGAGCAAAACACGCCTGTTGTGCCCACGGGCCACAACTAAGCACCTCTTGTAAATTGATTCTTATTCACAAATGCAACTTTGTTCTGAGTAAACTGGGCTGCTGAGTCTAAAATAACCCGTGATACAAGGAATTAATCTGTGCTTAACCAGGGAGGGTTAACTAAAAGCAACAGAAGGAGATCCTGGCATGCAGGGGTCTGGCTGGAGGAGCCAGGTGAGACACAGCAAAACGGCTCAGCTCATTTTTAAATCTATAAATACACAGGAACCACAGGGCAGCTCGAAGCTTTGCAGCATTCCTGCAAGGAAGGTCCTGATGGAGTGAGTGCCTCTGCGTGAGCACAACACGCACAGGGAGGGCAACGGGCAGCAAACACATCCAGAGGTGCTGACACTGCACAGCTGGCACAGCCAGGAGCAAGTGATGGGACATCAACAGCAAGACCGGTGTCACTGGTGACTGTGCTGCTTCCACTCCTCATTTAAAAATAATTTTTTTTTCCCTTGCCTACCCCCACAACTTCAATATTTATTTGTTACTGAATTAAGAGCCAACAGCAGCTGAGGTGGTGAGGAAAGCAGCACTGAATGCAGCTGCTGGCCACGAATCACTGAGTGAAAGAACTGATCACATACGTGCTTCAGAGTGTCTGCTGAACACGCAGCAGCAAAGTCAGCCTCTGAGTATTTCTGCTCCACCCACTGTTGCTGAGAAGATGGATTCCACCTCTGCCTCCTGGTGCACCCTGCACCTTCCCTAGCACAAGGAGCCTGCAATTTGGTAGCTGATTTCCAGTCAAAAAGCCACTCACAAAGGAATAAATCAGGGCCCAAACCTTTCAAGCAGAAGGACCCTCTTCAACTGCATCAACACATTCTGTGCATCTCCACTCTCCTCCTCCCCGAGCTGGATTTGTATCAGCGTACCAGCACCCTTGGCAGAGGCTTTTCCTTTTGACTCCAGAGCACCACAAACTGCACTAACCTTGGACTAGCTTTAAACAAACAAACAAAAATATATATATATGCCAGAGAAGGATATTGCACCGTAGAAATTTGGGCTCTAAAACTGCTTTCCATCACACAAAACTCCACTAAAGTGAGAGAGAGTCTTGCCAACTGCAGCTGACAGTCACGCAAAAGTGAGGAATGGAATGAAGCTCACATGCATTTCTTGGCCTTTCCTGCACAGAATAATTCAGACATAATATATAAATAGAGCAGTGAAACAATTACTTTTTCACCTAGACCTACAACATCAAATACGTATAAATAAATTCTAGTGTTTTATTCTGTTGGGGGGGAAGGAATGGAGGGGGTTAAAAGAGAAAGAAGGGGGGACCTTTTCCAACAGGAAGTATTGTAGTTCTGATGGCATTTACACCAGAGGGACTGCAGTAACTTGGATCTAGCAGTAACCCAGTTTCTCCCAACGTGTCTGACCACTCCAAAGTCACACAGGTGGGAGGAAAGAGGTTAGTGTCTTTGTAAAGCTGAAGTAGTGTGTCCAGGGGAAGGAAGAGATGAGAAGAGGGGGGCTCAGGTAAGTCTCTTTAGCCATTACAGTTAGATTCTGGGCTGTTATTAGCTAGGGCCAGCTGGGCAGAAGGATAATAAAAAAAAAACCCACACACAATTCTGTTGTTCATGATATTTCAAGGGAGAAAATAGAAAGGAGGGTGGGCTGACTTACTGGTGGTGCAATCTTTGGAAAACGTTGGGAGCAGGACTAGCAGATGAGGATGCAGGTCTGGGAGATGCCTGAAGGTCAGGGGAATATTTGTCACTAAATCTCAAACCCTGTACTTTAAGGAGGATGCTAGAGAGATGCTGGCACACTCTGCTCTGAAATTAAAAAACCAAAAAACCTAAGAAAAAAGAGTTTTAATTTTTTTCTTAAAGTACCATCCTATCCCTTTCCCTTCGGGTTCTCTGCCATGATCAATGGGGACACCTGTGGAGAGGGGACATTACTATGTCTAAGTTAGTTTAGGTTCCTAAGCTCTTTAAAGCTACTGTATAAAAATCATATTTATGCCTAGCTTAAAACTTCAAATGCATCCTTAGAAAGTTACAAAGGATCTTTTCCAGAAAGGGGGGGGGTGGGTGGGGTGGGGGGAGGGGGAAGCAAATGAAGAAACAAGAACAACCTTTCAGATCCCTTCCCAAATACATTCTTTGTTCAAAATATCTTCTTTGGAACCACCACCAAATGACTTTCTGCCACCCAGCAGAGGCCGATGCACAGCCCATGAGCAAGCGATCACCTCCAAAAATGGTTCTGTCCCTCACTTCAGAGTGACCAGCCTACTTTACATTTAGAAAAAGCTAAAACAACACAAACCAAGTTAGCTGAAAGTAGTTTTTTACTTAAGACTACCGTCAGGTGAAGGACTCCAAGCCCTTTCAGGAACTCGTTAAGTCCATCCTAAAAAATCTACGTACACACGCGCCACACACACACACACACACACACACACACACAAACCAAAACCAAACAGCCAGAGAAATAAAACTCAACCTCTCCCACTGGGATCTTCCTTTTGCAGATCATCCAATACTGGAGAGGAGTGGTGAGGTGACAATGCTGTACACACACTATGTGCATCAGGAGTAAAGAACCCTTTGCTGCTCACCCGGGGAAGGAGTAGAAGGAGGATTCCAAACTGCCTCTGTAACCACGTATTTCCAACACAAAAAAAGGAGGTTCCAAATGTGCTAAAACGGCTGCCTTGCAGAGGGGCTCTCTCACCAACGTGCTTCTATGCAAATTTTACAGAAAGCCATGAGTTAGGAGGAACGGAAAGCAAGACTCGGGAAAAAGGGAGAAGAGCAAAGCTTAGGAGAGCAGCCCCGAGGGATGAACACAGTACAGGACAAGTCGCAGGAGACACGAAGAATTTGAGCATCACAACTACAAAAAGTAGTCCATACAGACCCCGTTGGCTTTAGCCAACTCTTCTGACCTATGTGCTGTGAGGAGAATTTTTTTTTTTTCCTTAACAAATTTTACGTTTTGTAAAACTATGACTTTACATTTTGGTGTGTTTGGCAGTCACTAAAAAACATCCCAAACCCACAAAAATGGAAAACCAAACACCTAGATCCAGATGAACTTGAAACAGAAATTTGGTAGTTTGTTTGGTTTTTTCCTTAAAATGAAAATGCCACATTTTGTTGTGTACAAGACACCCCAAAACTACATTGAAGTGGTGCAAGTTTCAGGATTGACGCACTGATGCCTTTAGTACACATTTACTCCTAATGCAAGCACTGCTTCTAGCTTAAAACAAAAATACTGAAAAATTAACAAATGCCATACCTGTCCTGTTTTTTTAATCAAATAGTCAAAGGCTAATTCATCTGGGGAAATACACCCAAACAAACTCAAACTCTCAACATAGCACAGAACCATATACAAAACTAAGCAGAGTTTTGTCAGAACATCATTTTAGCTGAAGGGAATTCTTTTCTGAAAGGAATGAGGAAAGCAGAAAGAAGGGGTGGGGGGGGAATGAGAGAACATATAAAAGTTCTGCTATAAACAAAGATACAGCTTTTTTTGTAAAAACCTCAGCTGCCTTTAAAATGAAAAACCTCAAACTAACCCCTCTCCCCCAGTTGCCACTCTGCTGAGACAGAAGTAGGGAAGGAGAAGGACGGGCTTTGCCAAGTGAGCGATCACAGCTACCTGTGGATGGGGCATGGGGAGGGGGAAATTTAAAAAAAAAAAAAAAAATGGCTAAAGCCACTTAAAAGTCACATGATTGGTTTGTTTTAAAGCAAGCAGGTCAATGTCATATCCACTGTTTCAAACTGCTTTGTTGGGGGAGAGGGGCTTGAATGATGTCGCTGTAGTCAGTCAGTGTAGGGGGGGGGATAGATCTGGTGAGATTTTCAGGAGATCCAGTGGGGTCCAGTCTAAGCTGCAGGGCCTCTCAGGCAGCAGGACCAGCTGGGCATCAGAGGTGCTCCTAGGCCTTGCTCTCCTCCACTTTGACTGCCTGAGGTTTGATCGCTCCTGTGCGCACCGGCTT